GCTGGAGCCACATCCCCAAGCTGACCAGCGTTGGGGACTCCTAGGACATCGTCAGGATTCAAACAGAAGTGTACAAGAGCACTGGCAGGTCCTCTTCCTGCCCTGGGGGCCAGCAGTGCCCCACCCACCCCAGTCCTTCCAGGGCTCCTCAGACCTGCGCCATCCTCCACCGTTTCACCCAAGGACGAGTAGGAGGACACTGACTCTCCCTGCACGGGTTTGAGCCTGGCCGCCCCACCTGTCCACTGAACTCAAGGTGATTCCACAAAATCGCCTGTTTTGCTGGCCCTGCAGCGTCCTGTATGACAGTCACTGGTCCCAAATGGCCATAAATTCTGCTTCTCTGAGGTCCAGTCATGTTTCAAGTGCTCAGCAGCCACACGTGGCTTGTGTCCACCATACTGGTACCACACGTGGCTTGTGTCCACCACACTGGTACCACAAGCCACCCACTTCCATGTCTGCAGCAAGTTCTCCTGGCTACCGCTGCTCCGGCCCTCACCTCAACTGTTCCCAAACACTCCTGCGGACAGATGGTTGTGCATCAAGTTCACAGACAGGGAGCAATCCCTGTGTGGCCCAGGGAGCTCCAGACACCTGGGCAGGTCCCAGGCAGGGGCTGAAGTGAAATACTGCCCAGGCCACCCTGGCCTGGAGTCTCCCTGGCCAGGGGTGGGGGCCAAGTAGGAGTGGAGGATTGGGAACCCCGCTCCTGGAGACAGAGAGGCCCCTCTCCAGTGCCATCACCTCTCCCATCTCCCACTGAGACTTGGGTTCTGCTGCCACCCGGCATTTCAGAAAGAATGAGTTTTCCGGCAACGAGGTTTAAGAGAGATTGGAGATCATCTTGTGTGGTGGACGCGGGGGCGGGGTCTGCACGCAGCAGTGTGCCTGGGGTACTTGACACCCAGGGGCCATATGTTTTTTTTTAACCCCTCCTGCTTTACACAATAGTATTTTCAGTAATTATTGTGTTTTCAGTTAGTTTTAATACAATTAACAAGTAAAAAGAAGAATGCATTTCAATTTTAAAGATATTGTTCTCAGTACAAAATTCCATGATAAGAACCAAGATTTTCAGTTTCCAAACAAAAATAGCACACCTCACAGGTTTTTCTCGCTTCCCTGTTTGACCCTGGACATAGATTCTTTTCTTTAGAGCAGGAAAGAAAGTGCACACAGGTCAACACACAGCACACAGGTACGAATACAATAGCTTGTCAAACACACATATGACACAGGCAAAGTCAGACCTCAGCCTCCAGCTTCAGTCTGTCCTTCCAGGAACCCCACCCGCTCAGGAAGATGGAGCCAGGACTTCCGGTGGCCCAGCAGGCAGAGGGCTCAGTTCTCTGGTGACTTAGCTTCCATTCATGGGGGACAGGTTCAAAGGGGTCTGTTCCCACACAACTCCCCAACTTGTTCGAGTAAGTGACCCGGAGCCCAGGTGAGCAAGATGCTTCTGGCCTGCAGAAAGTTGTCCCCCCTGGAAGGCACAAAGGGACGTTCTCTGTCCCCTGCTCAGGCTGTGCCGACTCTCCTCCCCTCCCCCGGCAGCCTTGACCTGGCACCTGGTGGGGAGGTCTCAGGACGCCCCTCCTGGCCCTGCTGTTCACTGACCTTCTCTCCATGTGACCATGGGCTCAGGCCAAGTCCCACTGGCCCATCAGCCCCACCTGAGCAGGACCCTCTGCCAGGGCTTAGCTGCTCCCCACAGAGACCCTGGGACCTGGGAAAGCCCTGGGGCAGGTAGGAAGGTCCTCGGAGGGCAGCCCTGCATGACATCCCACCTCCAAGGACGAACAACTTGTGCCTTCCCAGGGTTGGTCTTCCGGCTGCCGAGGTCACGCCTGCCCACAGAGTGCAGGGAAGGGCCTTGGTGGCATGTAACCCTGCACTCAGGGAAAGGGTCTGGGCCCCAGGACTGCACACCATCTGACTGTGTATATGGCATTCGTGGGGCAGGGGCCCCCTGGTGGCGAGGGAAGGGCACAGGGGACTTCCTTGGGTGACAGGAATGTTCTAATCTTGGTTGTGGTTGTGGCAGGAGGAGGGTGGATTTCACAGTGTGCAAATTATACCTCCACGAATCTGGCTTAGAGAGATTGCACTTGGAATTTATTAGTGCAATGTTGGTGAGAACAAAAGTCAGGAAACATCTGGGATGCCTAGCTGTGGGGAATGGCCAAATAAATAACAGTACAAATAATCTGTACAATGGAGCACTACACGGCCACTAAAAAGGAAGAGGTGGATATTTATATCCTGAAATTGCATAGTCCATCCCCAGGAGCTACTGTTTTTTTTTTTTTTAAACAGAGAGTGAGAGAGAGAAAGAGAGAATTTTAATATTTATTTTTTAGTTCTCGGCGGACACAACATCTTTGTTTGTATGTGGTGCTGAGAATCGAACCCGGGCCGCATGCATGCCAGGCGATCGCGCTACCGCTTGAGCCACATCCCCAGCCCCCCCAGGAGCTACTGTTATATGGGAAAAGCATGTGTGGTAGTGGTGGTGCTATGTGTACACACACTTATACATGTATAGACTATTTCTAAAAAAATCTGTACTCACATCTGGGGAGACTGCGAGTAGTCAAGGATGATAAGAAAACCTAAATTTCACTTTAGACTCTTAAAATTTTGTTGTTGTTGTTGTCAATGGATCTTTATTTTGTTTATTTATATGAGGTGCTGAAAATTGAATCCGGTGCCTCACACATGCTAGGCAAGCGCTCTACCACTGAGTCACAACCCCAGCCCAACTTTACACTTGATGTTGCACACAGAAATTTTTACTGTAACAGTTTCACACTTACAAAATACCCCCAAACCTTTTGGCCCACTTCTTGGCTCCCTCTGTGGGATGTCCTGCCTTAAAATATCCTGCAAATAAGTGCTGTAGGCATTGGRGACTCCGGAGTCTGCTGGCTTTCCTTAACCCACCCTATATGTTAGCAGTGTTGTAGGTTCACTGAGGAAAGAAAACAGATTGGCATGTGTAAAGCATCAGTACCCAGCAGGTGCTTAATAGATGCTTTTTCTCCTCACCCTCTCACCTTCTGTCATACCCACTCCATGCTGAATGTCCCCCAAGCCCACGGGCCAAGAGCTTGGTCCCTAGCAGGTCACTGTTGGGAGGTGGAGAAACCATTAGGAGTTGGGGCCTCGTGGGAGGTACCTAGGTCACTGGGGGGCCGAGTCCTTTCTCTTCCTCTCTATTCCTGGCTCATGGTGTCAGTGGAATTGCGCCACCCCGTGTTCCTGCCACGGTGCTCTGCCTCCTCAGTGGCCCACTGCTCATAGAGACCCAAAAAATGGGCATCCAGTCATGGACTGGAATTCCCCAGACCATGAGCCCAAATAAACCTTCTCTCTTAGAAGTTCATGATCTCAGGTATTTTGTTATAGCAAAGGAAAACTGACTAAATTCATCTACTAAGAAGGAGCATTTGAGGGTCAGAGTCCCCTCTGCTGCATTTCCCAAGGTGGAAAAGCCCCACAAGTCAGCAGTCCTCCTGTCCCMTACCTGCACATTGTGTTGCTGTACCCAGAGTCAAGAGTGGAGAGAGATTCTTGGTTGGGGGAAAATGCTGTTATAAAGTGAGGAATTGAGTACTTTTTCTGGAACATTAAAGCTTCTCAGTTTCCCATCCATTCATTCAATAGTGTGCTGGATGCCAGGGATTTAGTGATGGGCATAGTTTCTGCCTCATGGTGCTCAAGCCGATGCCCCATCATATAGTTCATGAACAACAAAACTTACTAGTGGGAAGCTCTATGGGTTCTATGAGTTTTGACTTATAGGGTTATATCATCTCCTCCGTCATCAGGATATAGAACACTTTATCAGTCCTGCCCCCAATTTTCTCATTCCCCTGGTGACCCACCCTCCTGCCACCTTGCCCCCAGCAATGACTGACTGGTCTCCTGTCCATATGGATCTGTCTTTTGCAGAGTATCACCAACGAAACCACACGGGCTGTCGTGTTCRAACTAGCTACTTAGCAGAACTGGTTAGGGTCGATTTTTGTTGTGAGTACTGTTGCTAAGTGGTATCCTACATCTGGGTGGACCATTTTGATGTCATCTTGGGGACAAAGAAAGAAAGAAAAGAACTTTGACCAAACTGACCTTGAGTGGGTCCCTGACTGGAGCGAAGGACATTAAATTCTCTCCCTGGGCGCAGTTAGGTCTGGAGAGACAGATGTAGTGGTGACAGAAGGAGAGACGTGCCCCCTCTTGCATGCCCCAATCTGTGGATGGTGAGACTCGCAATCGCTTTGGTGACTGATGGATGCGTTTAGATTTGGACAATACGGACCCCGCTGACCTGAAAGCGAGCACGGGCCTGGCTCACAGCCCCTGTCCCCGGGCTTTATGACACCACTGCTGGGTCATAGAGGCCCTGCCAGCCCAGAGAAGCCCTCTCGCGGTTCCGCTGATGCTGGAGCCCCTTGGGCAGTTTGGCCGCCTGGTGCCCATGGGGGAGGATGGAGTTTCTCGGAACCTCCCAGACGGCCAGCTACTGTGGCCCCAAGAAGCCCTGCGTCCTGATGGCGCCGCCCGAGGCGGTGCAGAGCCCGGGCGTCCACGAGTGCTACCAGCCCTACCACCTGCCGGGGTACCGCTACCTCAACTCGTGGAGACCCAGCCTCTTCTACAAGGTCTCCGACGGCCAGGCCTGCCCGGATGAGTGTCGCCGCAGCCCCCTGCGCCCGCCCACCATCCTGCCCGCGCTCCGCTCCGCGCTCTTCTGTCGCTACAGTGCCCAGGACTGGGACCAGGCCACCCAGCTGCAGCTGCGGGGCGCCGAGGCCTCGCGGCTGTGGGCTGGCCGGCTGACCGGCGACACCATGAGGCTCATGCAGGACAAGGACCAGCTGACGCGCCAGATGCAGGAGGGGACGTCCCGGAACCTGGGCCAGAGACTGACGGACATCGGCTTCTGGAAGTCGGAGCTGTGCTACGAGCTGGACAGGCTTCTGACGGAGAACCGCAGCCTGGACACCCTCAAGAGGCGGCTGGAGTGCGGCGCCGAGGAGCTCAACTGTCCGCTGCAGGTGAGTGCGAGCGCCAGGGCCCGCCCCGTCGGGCACCGCACCCTCCTCCCCCTGGACCGCGGGTCCAGGTGACAGGCACCGCCAGGGGGTGTGCGCTGCGTCGATGTTGATGACCGCACCTTCAAGGTGAAATCGTCGGTTCAGGATAAGCCTAGGGAAGACTCCTCCGGCCGAACGGGGTTCCATCCGGGTGGCGGGGTTCCGTGGAGACCCGTGCGCGCCGGCGCGCCCCTGCGCAGGTGCGTAGGTGGTTCCACCTGGCGAAGGGCTTCCGAGGACACGCCTGAAATCGTGCTTGCGCTTCCTCCCTGCAGACGGCTCGTGCCACGCCCTACACTTCTCGTGGGTGGTTTTCTGCCTGCAGGGCGCATAGGCTCCACCAGGCAGGGTGGGTCCCCCGTGCGCACCTACCCCAGACCCACCATCTGTGCAGCCCCCGTGTGTCCTGCAGGCCTCAGTGACCCGGGTCCCTGCCAGCTGTGGTCCTGGTCAACATTCTGAACGCACGCCCAGCCGAGGGCGGAGAGTGGCACCCACTAGGCACTCGGTAGACATCGGTTGAATAAGTGACGAGGTGACCCATGGTGGGCATGCCCGACTCCTCCTTGGCCTAGGTCCCATCCTGGGCGGGTTCCGGTTGCTCTGGGCTGCAGCAGCAGGTGCTCCGGGGCGTGGCCCAGCCCCGCAGGGACTGCAGAGGGAGACAGATCAGCCTGCAGCCCTCCACCTGGTGCGGGTGGGACCCGGCTCCTATCTTAACACTCTGCCGTCAATGGCAAATGGAGCTCTACCACTTCCTATTGCAGGCTCCCGCCTGAGAGGAGCCCTCTGGTCCTCTCCTGGAGGCCGGAAACGGGGTAGGGAGAAGGCGACCGTGCAGCTGTGTCCCTTGACATCAGGAGGAGGTTCCCAGGAGGCCCTCGTGGGTTTGCCTCCTCAGCCCATTTGCAGGGGCTCCCTGGCTGCAGAAGAGTCTGGGGAAATGACTGCTTTTCTCTGCTCCTGGAGAAAGGCATGGAAGGGGTGGAGTGGACATTGGGTGGGGAACCGTAGCTCTGCCTCATGCTGTGGAAACCATCTTGGCTACACTGGACGAGGATCTGCTTTCCCTGGACATTCCAGAGACCCAGGGCCTCCTGCCTGGAAGCCTCCTACCGCCGTTCCTGCCCTGTTCTGTGCAGGAACGTGGTAGGAGAGGTCCTGCCTTGAGATGCCCGAAGAGACACGGCAGCATGTCTCTGGGACTCCCAACCCCATTAGGGGAAGGCGTCCAACGTTGCCTTCATCCGCTAGCTGGCCCCTCAGGAGAGGGGTGGGCAGGGCTCTCCTCAGAGCCCCACAGCAGCGTCCATGGCCTACTGCCCCCCTCTCCTGCTCCCACTCCCCAGCATGTCTGCAAAGCCCAGCTCTGCCTGGTCCCATGTGCCACCTTTGATCAGCCATAGGGAGGCCCAGGGATGGGAAGCGTCTCGGTCTCTCCACTTCTCTCCGTCCCCTGGCTGCCTTCAGCCGGGCAGCCTCTCACTGGACATGGACATAACTGCTTCCTTCCTGGCCTTCCACCTCCTGCTCCCGTCCAACCTGTCCTTCCCTCCCCCCAGCAGCAGGGGGTGACGAGTCTTAACATTCCTCCACTGGCTCCCTGGATGGAGTCCCAGGGTCTAACACCCAATTCCTGAATTCCTCTTCCCCTCCCCCGTGACCTTGCCCTGCTCCTGCTYCAGCCTCACTTTCTCCACTCCAGTTCCCACGGCTTCCTGTCTGTGCATTCTCTGGCCTCTTGCACCTGCAGCTCCTGTTTCTTGCCCCATGTCTCCACTCATCTCTAGAGAAGTCCTCCCAGAGCCCTGCCTGTCCGCATCACCGCCCTTATCCCAGGTGGAGATGATCACATTCCTTCAGCTGTGTCCTTTCAGCTGGGTTGAAATGCACAACCAGCCTGGGAAAGATGCACCCATCTCACGCTTATCGGCAGATGAGGAGACCGAGGGTCAGAGAGGCTGAGTGACTTGCCCAAGTGCACATGACAGGAAGGGACTAAGCCTGGATTTAAACTTATGAGAGAGCACACGTGGAGGACAGCAGCTGATACCATCTTATCTGAGATCATAGTGACAGCTGCCATATCTATCATTGTAGTTGGGAAGGCTGGGGACAGCTTGTGGAGATTATATCTCAGTCACCACTGGTTCCTGGGACACTGCCTTATCCTGCTTTCTCTACATGGGCCTGCATCTCCTCACGCGCTGGCCTCGGCATCCCACGGCGCCCCTCGCTGGCCTCGGCATCCCACGGTGCCCACTGAGGGAGGCGGAGCCCTCCAGAGGCCCCTCTGAGGCCCTATGAAATACCAGGTCTCTCAGAGGAACGATGGGATTCCAGCAAAGTCCTGTGTGTCACCCGAGCTCAGGGTCAATGTCCAGCCCCGGGAAGAAGACACTCTGTCCTGATCTCCCTACAGGTGGCCCTGGAGTGTCTCTACCATCGAGAGAAAAGGATCGGGATTGATTTGGTCCATGACGGCGTGGAGAAGAACCTTATCCGGGTGAGGTGTCTCCTGGGCTACCACCACCCCCCGGGAGTGGGCAGGGCAGCCGGTCGGTCCACTTCTAGGAGGAAAGACTGTGGTCTCAGAGGCTGCTGTCCACCTGCCTGCTCCCTAGCTGCCAGGCCTGTGGAGAGCAGACATCATGCGGAGGGGCCCAGCAGGGCTTGGCCCCCAGCTATGGTGGCCAGCAGGAGGAGGAGGGGGAAGGGGGCGAGGCAGAAAGGTACTGGGGACGAGATGTGGGGGTCCACCTTCCAGCGACTCGCCCCCACTGACCTCCTTCCCCCGCGAGGCCCGTCCCCCAAGTTCCCACCATCTCGTTAAGTTATGAGCCCCTCGGTGAGCAGTCATGGAAGAGGCAGGAGCCCTCATGACCCGTCACCTCCGGCCTCTGAACACCGCTGCCCTGGGGACCAAGCCCTCTGCACCAGAGCTTTGGGGTGATATTCCGTATCCAAACCACAACGTGGAGCTCCTTGGCCCCCAGTCTCGGCATTTCCAAGTTGGGTACAATAATAATTCCACCAAGAGCAAAAACCAAAGCTAGTGTTTCTGGAACACCTGCTGCATGTGCACATCAGACTTCAGCCTTCTTCTTCGGCATTATTGAATGATCATATATATGTGAGCTGCTGTCACACAGTACGTGCTGGATTTTACTTTAATCCAGAAGCAAATAGAGAGACATGAAAGTAGGGCAGGGCAGGTGGTGTTCTGCAGCTGGCCCCTGGCTGTGGGCGCCTCCCCTGGCTCTCACCTGGGGGCGGGGAGGRCGGGGTGCCGGAGGGGCGCTCTGACCGGGGGAGTTTCTGACCTGGGTCCACTCTTTCTGACCTTTTTTATTTCAGGAAGTAGATTTGCTAAAATGTTGCCAAGAACGGATGAGACAATTAGCTCAACGGATCGACATCCAAATGCGGTAGGCCCCACTCTGCCCGCCGCCGCGCCCCGTGGGCTCTGTGACTTCCAGGTCACCAATTCCCGTGGTGCACAGGCTGGTTTTAAGATCTGGGCGTGATGGTCCTGAGGTGCGCAGGCTCAGGCCATCTCGTGAGTGGCCTGTTTGCAGTGAGGCCCTGGTGGAGGGCAGCAGCCTCCCCGAGGCCCGTCCTGTCACCTCCCAAGCCACTCGGGGAGCCAGCAGTGTGGGTGGCATGGGCAGCTAGGTGAGGGACGGGCCCTCTGGAGGCCTTCAAAAGGAGTCAGCTTTTTGTTCTTGGAAGATGACGTAACCAGTGTCATGAAAGGCCAGGGCCCCTCTCCTGATTAAAGGGAGACTGAGATTTACGGGGCTTGGGGCCCAGAGCCAAGGCCTCTGCTCCCCACCTGGCCCTGGGTGGGCGCTCACCTCTGACCCTCCCAGGACTGCTGGTCAGCTGGCTTTCCCTCTTCACTGACTTTGTTTTTGGGGGGTGGCGGTACTGGGGCCTGAACTCAGGGGCACTGACCACTGAGCCACGTCCCCAGCCGATTTAACTTAGAGACAGGGTCTCCCTGGGTTGCTCAGTGCCTTGCTTTTGCTGAGGCTGGCTTTGCACTCACAGTCCTCCTGCCTCAGCCTCCCGAGCTGCTGGGATGACAGCACTGGCCGTTCTAGTTTCCACTCCCAGCCGCGGTGTGTGAGGGTTCCCTTTCCCCCAGCCTCCCAGCCCGGGTCCTCTCTTTATGAGAACAGCTACTCTAACAGGGAGGAGGTGAGACCTCGAGAGGTTCTAATACGCATTTCTCTGATGACTTGTGATGTTGGATATCTTTTAAGACCCTATTGCTTATTTACATGCCTTCTTTGGAGAAAAGCTTCCTCAAATCCTTTGCCAATTTTTAAATCAGTGTGCTTTCTTGCTGTTCCCTTGTTGAGTTCCTTATGTATTTTTGGATATTAACCATTTATCAGGCGTGTGGTTTACAAACACTTTTCTCTTTGCTCAGTTGATCGGTTTCTTTGCTGGGCAGAGACTTTACAGTTAGATACGATCCCATCTGTCTGTCTGTGTTGGGTTTTGTTACCTGAGCTGTTGCAGTCCCAGACCCAAGTTGCGGGCTTTGCCGGTTTTCTCCCAGTAGTTCTACAGCCTCTGATCTTACATCTCAGACCGTTTTGAGTTGATTTTTGTACATGTGTGAGGTAAGGGTCTGACTTCATTCTTTTAAATGTGGATACCCAGTTGTCCCCTAATCAGTTATTGAAGAGACCATCCCTCCCTATTGTGTGTTCTTGGTACCTTTGTTGAGAATCAACCGACCGTAGACCATTTTTTCCTTCTGGGCCCTCTTCTGTTCTTTTTCTGCACGTATTTCTGTGATCTCCAACTTATGTTAAGAGACCGATTTTCCACTCATGGTTGGCATAGGGACGTGGCAAAACAGGGCCCAGGGTGGCAGGAGGCTGAGGTTCAGAACAGGGGACAGTTAGAGCTGGCGGAGTGGATGAAAGCCCAGACAGGAATTTGGGGAGCGGAACTCCAAAGAGCACTGCTGCGATGGGTGGGGAGGGTCAGGCACCACCCCCGACGGTGAAACCAGAAGTGGGGGGCTGGAGACCAGAGAGGTTGAGACAGACACACAGGCGGAAACAGACAAGGAGAGCCAGGACCGGCACCACTACAAGAGACAGAGAAGCTGGTGCAGTCAGGCACACCTGTGATCCCAGCAACTCGGGGAGCTGAGGCAGGAGGGTCACAAGTTCAAGGCCAGCCGGGGCAACTTAGCCAGACTCTTTCCAAAAATATAAAGGGCTAGGGATGTAGCTCATTGATAAAGTGCGGCTGGGTTCCATCCCAGTACTGGAAAATGAGAGCGAGGAGGAGAGGGACATAAAGAGAGAGAGACACAGAGGAAGGGAGTAGGGAGACAGAGGGACAGAGACAGACAGATGTGCCAGACAGAGACACCAAGAGGTGGACAAGGACAGAGAAAACCCAAGAGCTGGAGAGGGACAGACATGGAGGAGGAGAGGGAGAGGGAGGGGACGCTGGGAGAGAGAGATGGAAATGACCAGGGAACTCAACACAGGCAGTTTGCTTTGGGCAGCGGCTTATTGATTGAGGGAGGCCTGTCACCTAGGGGAAGCAGCTTAGCACCTGGAGGGACTGGAATTGTCCTAATTCACTTGGAACCTCAGAGGCTCAGGGCTGAGGCCATGGGGTACATCCTCACTCCCTGGGGGAGGCCCCGCTGCTGACCTGATGGGATGGCTTCCTGYGCCCGCTGTTGACTGGTGGTTTCTGGGCAAGGAAGGCCTGTGGCCCACAGCTGCCCGGCACCTCGCCCCACCAGGAGCAGAGAAGTCTCTTCCTGTTGGGGAAGGGCCAGACTTGGCCTCTCCTGAGCTCTGGCACCAGCCTGGCCCTGGGCCGTGTGCCAGAAGGCTGGACGGGTCTGCCCCTCCTTTCCTGGACCTCACTGGCAGGGCCAGGCAGCTGGAGCAGCTGGAGCAGCTGGAGTCGGAGGCCCCAGCCTCCCGGTCACGCTCTGAGGTGCACTTTCACATTAGGTTCCTGTTCACTGGGTGGGGTGGCAGGGCCCAGTTCTCCTGACTCTGCCAATTCGCAAGGCCCAAAGGTCCCGGGATGGTTCCTCCCGCCTGACAAGACCTCTGTATCCTGACAGGTGGGGACTCACCATYGGGATTTAGCTTCCTTGCTCCTGGGTTGCCTGAAACCAGTGTCTGTGACGAGAGGCAGACAGAGGAGAGGATGGGAGACAGGGCCCACGGAGGCCGAGACAGAGAAGCCCAGGGGGAAGAGACATTGTAGAGGTGGACAGAGGCCGAGAGAGACAAGTCCTGGGGAGGGCTCACACCAAAGGTGGGAGAGAGGCCCCAGGGAGACCACCCAGCGGGGTCTGACAGCCTGTCTCCGGGAAGGTGGTTTCTGTCCATTGTMGAAGTCCTCCAAGTGCTTCAGGACCAAGGCTCCGCTCCATGTTCTGGTGTCTTTAAAGAAGACTGATTCTTTTTCAGTCAACAGAGACACAAAAAGGGTTGAGCCTAGAAGCTTCTGGAGACAAAAGATTCTAGCTGGGATGTAGTGAGTGTTTACTTAGTCTTCAGGGCAGAGGGGGCCTTCTGTTAGCAGATTCCATTATTGTTTTTCCTTTAAAGACAGGAACGTAAACTTCCCTTTTAAAATACATTCATTTATATTTTTTAAACGATTTCAAAAGGAGGAGAATACTAAGTAAATAACAGTACAGGTGCTTGCTGTTTGGTAAGAGTCATGAATGTGGTAGTCAAGGTCTGGAGTTTGGTCAACAGCGGCCTTGTCTAGGCCTAGCTGAGACACCAGCTCTCCGGAATCCAGTGCTGACCCCTGCTCACCTTGGCCAATCCCGGAGCGCACGGTTTTTAAACCCACCCACCCAGTTCCCGACTCCGCCCAGTTCCCGACTCCGCCCAGTTCCCGACTCCGCCCAGTTCCCCAAACTCCCCCCAGTTTCTGACTCCACCCAGTTCCTAACTCCACCCAGTTCC